ACGAGAAAAGATGTCGTTTTAACGAGAAAACATCTCGTTATTACGAGAAAAGATGTCGTTTTAACGAGAAAAGATGTCGTTAAAAAGACATAACTGAGTGAAAAAAAAAATATGTGTGCGGCAGCAATGGGTCACCGTATGATTGAGCTCTATCCGAATAAAATTTTGATCAGATTGAAAACGCTGGTGTAGACCTGAAATAAACCGATAAGCAGAAAAAAATGAGCATGCAAATGCTTGAATCGGACTATATTATTCAAAAATACCTAACGTACATGTGTAGTGCCATGAATTGTAAGTTTACATGCATTTTACATCTTACAAACTTGCATATGTTTATTTACATCTCGCGTTTTAAGAACTTGTTGGTGGCTAAATATTTACTAAATATTTGCTAAAAAAAAGCTTTTATGACATATGTTAGCTTTCTTTTAAGACACGTCATCAAGGCAAAAACATTTATTAATTCCGATTTATGAAAAATTGTGCATGTAAAAGTACAGTCAGAATCAGAATTGCTCTTGCATATCCACCTTATTTTGAAATGTGGAAGTAAGATTTTCTGTGAATGTGTGAGACTTCAGATTCATTTGCCGCTGTAGGTAAATAACTAGAAGAATAACAAATGGTAAAACTATTTGCGCTACAAACCAGCGCATTCATGATAAGAAATAAGTTTGCAATATAAAGCAGCATAACGGCTGTTTTTGTACAGCTGAAATAACTGGAAGCCTCACACATTTAAGTTACACATTTTTATATGTTATAAAAAAGGTGGATAATAAAAAGTATTTTTATTTTAATTATTGTTCATATATATGTGGCATTGGGTTTAGGATTTGTGAAGATTTATAGCATGAATAAATATGGTCTTTTTTCCATAGGGCTGCTGACATTTCCAGATGGTTCCCATGGTGCTCCGCGAAATGAGGGAGTGTTTGAGAACAACAAGCTTCTGAAACGTGAAAAGTGTCAGGCTGTGGTGCAGAGAGCCAAGAACTCCGCATCCACTGCCCGCGGCCTCTCTGTATGACAAACTGACCTCAGTGAGAGCACCCCTAACTGCGGCTTTCAGATCAGGCAGTGTCACAAGTTAAGAAGTCAAAGCAGACTGTGGATCTGCATTCAGGGGTGATCTCTGCCTTCACCAAATAACAGAGCTCAAAAATATGAGAGACCCATCAGACCCTCAGGGATGGATGAAAGTGTTTCCATTCCACACACCTCTGTTTCTCTCACATTGTTGCTCTGCCTTGGTTTCCTCTGTGGCTTAAAAACATCACAAAATACTGTATGTTATGGAGGCATGGATAAACTCGAGTTACCATCGGAGGCATTGCAGGTACGGAAGCCTGGTCACGTGAAGATATTTTTGGTAACTATATGAAATTTGCCTTCGTGAGTCTGCGATTGTATCACTTACGTTTGACTGTATTGTTACTATTGTAACTGTCTGTTTGTTTGAATCAACATATTCTTTATTGCACATTTGCCTTAGTTATTGCATTAAAAGTCAATATTGCTGGATTAAAATCTTGTTACTGATATACAACAGCAGTGAGGGAATGTTTTCAGCAAGTTGTCTTAATTTGTTATTTATTTGTTAATTTCATTCATTTAAAATGAGTACATATAATTTACTAAAACATTATAGGATATTATGACACTCTGTAGTTGTATTTTTCTTGTACATTTATTGTATTTAAAAAGTATTGGGTCATTGGGCAGATATACATTCACTTCAGATTTTTGATGACTGATTTATGTGTGTTTACTTTATTTTCCAAACTGACTGCTAATGGTTCACTGTTCCCATCCTCCACAGTGTCAGACAGAAGCCTTAGTCACGATCATCTGATATATACTGACACCAAAAAGCATTTTGCACTATTTATTTGAGCAGAGAATCAAAAGACTGACATGAAATAAAAGTCAGAAAACACCACCTGATCTAAATTTGGTGCATCATTTTTTAATCATGCTTATTCTGTCATGATAACATTTTATGTTCTAATTTAGTGTATTTTAAAATTTAACTTATTTCTGTGAAAGCAAAGCTGAATTTTCAGCATCATTACTCCAGTCTTTAGTGTCACATGATCCTTCACAAATAATTCTAATATGCTGATTTGGTGCTTTAAAAACAATTCTTATCAATGCTGAAAACAGTTGTGCTGCTTAATATTTTTTAAAACACGCTGTTTTTCGGGCCTTTCTCTTTAAATGCAAATGAGCTGCATATTCTGGAAAAAGGATGCACCCCTTTTTCCAGAATAGAGCTGCGCCATTACAGCTCGGACCTGCTAAAAAACAGCTGTTTTGGTTCTGATTATCATGTTTATCGCGCTGAAATCAAGCGTTTTAAACCATATGAGTTTAAACTTCTGATATACGGTTCTGATATAGTGCACACATCCGAAGCACACGGAGAGAAAGCGGCTGTCACAGCATGTGAGTACTAAACTAAGTTCTCATTCACACACAAGTTTACGTTAAAAACACATGAGTTACAAAAAACAGTTGGTTATGTCTGTGAAGGTAAACAGCTGGGAAATAAATCGCTTATTTTAGATCTGTGTGGCAGCAGCAATATACATTCAATTAATCAATAAATCCACTGCTCTCTTGTCTCCTCTGAGGCTGGGACTCTAAACAGTGTTCTGTGCTCGTCTGTGCAGCCAAAGGCAGAACAGTTAGCATGTTTTGCTCACGTTCGCCGTGGCATTAGAACTAGTACACAGTTGTCGCTTGCGAAAACACAATAACGGCGCTGTGGGTGTAAACTTACAGATTAAGGGGCGGTAATATTATAATGAGATC